GAGAGAGAGAGAGAGAGAGTGAGGGGTTAAGAGAATATGTTTTTGTATAAACACGTGCTCGTACAACCGCACGATTACCATTAAAAAGACTCCTTTTGCTTCTACAACCACCACCAAAATGTGAGCCTCCGCGAACGAAGCGCAACGTTGAGGTGATAATGCGTCTCTTTTGTGTGGAACTCTAACAACCCCATCTGCCTCATTGTCACTCATCGCAAAGGTCATATCTTTGGCCTTCCCTAAGTAAGCAAAAAAATCTGTTTGGGTTATATCAGTCCTCGGTGTGAGTCCGAGATATGCTCTGAGATTAAAATGGGAAGGAAAACATCAGTACATAAACATGATTAAAAGCGATAGAAGCATGAAAACTCCTTTTGTTTGCAGTGCTAAAGAGCTCGATTCTCTGTCACTGGTTTGACCTGGAACATCAGATTTGTTTGACCTGATAAAAGTGCGCTTTATCTCTGCTATGAAAATCAGAGCAAGTACAGTTTTTTTTTCAGATCAATTGTATAATAGTGAGCATATCTGCTGCGAGAGTCTTTGAACACTCGATTCATTATAATAAAAATGAAATTGACAACCGTATAAGCAATCAATTTTCAAACTGGTTTTGTCTTCCTTTTATTTATTTATTTATTTATTTATTCATTTATTTTTTTTGGCGGGTGGGGGGTTATTTATTGACTGCCAATCATCTCAAGACAAGGCAAGGAACAGACACAATTTGGGTAAAAACAAATAATTGCATTTAATTATTAATATTGATGATGTCCTTGAACAACAGAAATACCAAATGTTTAAGGCAACATTATCAATCGTAGTGCATCATAAACATTTCTTGTGTGGAAAAAATATGTAAGCCGTACGTCTGCAGAAAATGTCTTTTAAAAAGAATTGTTTGCTTAGAAAAAGTTAGACAAACGAAAAGAGGTTATTTTTTCAGTCTCTGAAATTTGAATCTTTTACGTCATAGCATTATGATAGCGACTTAAAAAACAACAACCGATGATCAGATAATCTGTGAAAGAAGATAGAAAGGAATTAAGAGAAGAAAAGAAAGAAAGAAAGAAAAAGAAAAAAAGAAAAAAAGAAAGAAAACAGAAAGGAAAAAAACAACAACCTTAGGTTATAGAAGTTCTCATCTACGAGACCCCTGCCAGACAGAGGTCGAGACCTAGTAGT